TTATAGTGATAAATACATTGCATTCTTGATAGAGAGAAAAGGATTCTATGGATTTCATGCAAACTGCTCCTTGGCTGGGCTTGCTTCCTGGAGGAGATGGTCCAATAGTGACTTCCCAAGATGGTGAACACAGCCCTGTTGTTAGTCTCTTTAAATCAACTGCTTCTGCAATGGTTTCATACCCTGGTTGCCCATCGCCTTCCTCTTTCCATATTATGGCAAAACAAGCAGAAGCTGCAGGTGTGCTGTTGGAATGCTTTTAATTTGTTTGCTGTTACCTTGGCATGCTTTCTTGTATAAATAAAGGCACTAATGCTTGATTTTAAAAAATTAGTTGAGAAACTTAGATTTTAACTGCAGGAAATATAATGCCCATAAGGTATTTCAAATGAAGGAAATAAAATGTATAACTCAAATTAGTTTAGTATCATCATGATGCAATAGGCATGATTGTCATTGTCTGGGCATCTTCGAGAAATGATGGTGAAAACTTAACACAATGTCTTTATGTCAAAAGAGATATCCAACAACAATAATCTTACTATGTGAGGTTGACTATATATGACTTTGAACTCGGTCCAAAAAACAATATTGCTCAAACAAATTTTATACTAGTTCAATTACCATCATTGTGATCTACATATTGTCCACTAAAATCAAAGTTCATACTACCAAAACATATCTCACTTTAGTTGTTCTCAGGATCCCACAACTCAAATGCCTTCAGCCAAGAGATACTCCGCTCTTAATATGTTGGATGGCTTCCTTTTCAAACTTCACAAAATAGAGAAAAATACAGTGTTGTAGTGGCACACTACTCCCTTGGTGCATGAATCTGCCAATGAAACCTCTAAAATCTCAATATGATGGTTGAATGTATTTGGCTCAAAATTATGGCAGCATAGTGGTACTTTTTCCAAGTTCAAAAACCATGGCTCAAGTATTTAGTAATTACCCCTTCATATAAAATTTCAAATGGGCTACACAAATGACAAATACACAAAGAGTGATAAATTCCTGCACTGGTAATAAATTTCTCTCACTTGTAACTGGCCCTATTAACCGTTTAATTGATTACTGCACCCCAACCATGAATCGAGTTATTTCACAAAATATTCAATTACTTTGTGTGGATACTCTTGGGTAATTGATTATTGTACTTTGATGGTAATTGATCAATTTTTCAGTGGCAGTTATGAAAAATCTTTTTTGAGCCAAACCCAACCTTTACTGTTTAGTGAGATTTAACATTATTACTAATCACTCAAACCGTAAAAGCAAAACCACTCAACACCAACAAAATTAAAAAAAAAAGAAGAAAAAACCATTTAACTAATCTAAAAGTGGAATCGTCAAAATCATTTTGAGAGGCATGTAATCCTAAGTGCCTTTTGAGAGGTGCAGCATCTGCATTTACTGTCACCGCTTTTTTCTTTCAATTCTTATCCACAATAATACCCACTACATCAAGCATTATGCCTGATTTTAAGCAACTAACAGCATAAAATTTTATTGAGAGAAGATTGTTAGGATAGACTTGGATGGCCAAAAACATCTTGTCACATCTCACATTATCCTCTAGGATAAGTTTTCCTGTTTCCTCATTTATCTCTTAGGATTAGTTACCATATTTCCTTATATTATCATGATTTCTTTTATCTATGTAGATAGGAGTATGATTAGTGTACAAAAGGGTTAGTGCTGTAGGATTTATGAACACATGAATGCGTTGTAGTCCATCTCAATAATATCAATTAAACTTCATTTCTTTTTCTCCCTCTATACCAAAAACGAAATTTTTTTTCTGACAAATACATTATTATACCGTTGTATTTATACTAAATTCTTTTTCAATAAAACTTTCTGACTTTTGATTGCTTAAAATCAACTCTGGGGGTTTTATTTAGCAAAATCCTTTTATTATCTATTTCTACTAGAAACGTTCATGTTTTGCTTGCGTTCATTTACTTTGTGATGTAATTTTAGGAGAAGAAAAGCACATTTCTTATTATACATTAATAAAATTACGAGTGATATATAGGCAGAGCTGGCCAGTATTCGTAACTACCCTGATTATAGAACAAATACGAGGATAAAATAGGGAAAGGGAGAACGAGATCAATCAGATTTAAAGAATCTAGTCTTGATCATAACTACCTAAATCTTCTAGAATGAATTTGAAATAAAAGTACATACATGATCCTTTATTAGTGGCTCAAACCTTGTTTTTTTTTTATTGCAGATCTTTTATACAAGGCTAACTTGAATTCTGGAAGTGTGCTGGAGTATGCACTTGCCTTCACTAGTGCTGCGTTGGATAAATATTGTAGCAAATGGAGTGCTGCACCCAAAACAGGCTTCATTGACATTACAATTTCCAAAGACTTCTACCGAATATACAGTGGTCTCCAAATTGTAAGGAGCAACCTTGCACACTCCTCTTTTACTCGTCGCACTGCTTAATAACTTGCTAGTCCTTTGTATCTCTATACACCTTTTAGCTCTATGTTTTGGTTGCTTAAGTTGGCCCTGCGGTTGATGGAAACTGCCTGAACATAGAAACATTATAGGTTAAAGGTTAAATGGCTAAAACTTAGTTTGAACCACTTTGTAACATCTTGTTCAATACATTAATAAATTTCCTACTGTGTATATATAATTAATGGGTGCTTTTGCTTGAGCTACGTAGGGATACTTGGAAGAGTCTGCTCAAGTGTCATCAAATAGTCATGACAGGCTGGGAGATTCAATTGCTTGGGGGGGCTGCACTATTATTTATTTGCTTGGGCAGCAGCTGCATTTTGAGCTCTTTGACTTTTCGTATCAGATCCTCAATATCGCAGAAGTGGAGGCTGTATCTGTTATGCAAACACATAAGAACTCACAATTTTCTGTCCAGGTTTATTTTACTTCTTCAAATCATCCAAAAGAAAACTTTCTAGGTTTACATCATCATTGTCCGTTAATAAAAAATTACTGCTTTCATTATTGTCTACATGCAAACATTATATAAATGTTTATTATTTATTCTTCTGTACTGCATTTCTAGAAAATAATATGTTTTTTCAACTCAGAAATACTGTGATAAAGATTAAATCAACCTCAGTCGTACCATGTTAAGACAAATCAAATTTAATTTATATGGATGTCGTATCAGATGTTTTAACAATATCCAAATGGTGCACAGTAATGAAGAAGCTGCAACCTGGTTGTGCAATTTAAATTCCACGTCCTGGCAGCATAAGGAGCGATGGTTTTCTTTATGTGTGTCTTTGTCTGCTGCTTAAATAGCATTTATTTTTCTTTTGACAGGGATGGGAAGCCTTATTGGAAGCAATGAAAAAAGCTAGGAGATTAAATAACCATGTATTCTCTATGCTTAAAGCACGTTGTCCCTTAGAAGAAAAGACAGCTTGTGCTATTAAGCAAAGTGGTGCTCCAATACATCGTATAAAATTTGACAACACAGTTTCAGCATTTGAAACACTGCCACAGAAAGGTTCTTAGACGAGTAGTCGAGTTGTAGGCTTCCTGCAACTTCTGTGCCCTTTTTCCTGTACGTTGTACATGTATCTCTTGTGTTGTATGTAAATGTTCATGAGCTGAGTTTCTATGCAGAGGTGGTAACATTTTTTATAAGCTGTAATGGAACTCAGTCAGTTCCCAATTACAACTATTGTTTGATATTAGTTATAAGCTTGTTGTATAAACTCGTTACTCTCTACCTCTAAAGAGTAATTCAATTGGAGATTGCTTTTGCTTTTTTCTCCAAACTCTTTCTTTTACTTCCAATTCTTAGTTTATCCGACAGCTTTCGTGGTAGCAAAGTTAGCTCTCAAGAAATGGTAATACAATTAATTCACTCTTCAAACCATCTCTAGTTCAATTTCATTCAAGTTTAATGAAGGTAACCTTCCTTCGAAGCAACACGTGTGAATAATGGTCAGGGTAGGTTGCATCAGCATCAAATAATTTTCTTTTTCATTGTTAGAAATGAGAAATATAAAACTACATTTTTAGATTTTATTTAAATAGTCAATTGAAAAAAAAAATACTTCTTTAGTAGTCATTTGATAACTAATTCATTTACATACACATGTATGTAAATATCATATGAAAACCCCTTTTACTTTAAAAAATGAAAATTGTTAATATATGTTAGGAGACCCTATTTGACCTGTCAATATTAAAAGAAAACAAGTCATGTATCGATATTGTTTTAATTAGTTTTTATCTTAATCATCCTTCTTAAGTACAAATTTGAGGTTTACTTTGTTCACAATCTCATTTCACATTTGACAAATTTTCAATATTAGGGAATCATCTGTTTGGCTTTGTTATACTATTTTATACGTTCTATATTATAAAGTAAAATCTTTTAAGGAAAAAGAATAAAATAATTTTTAAAATAAATCCAATATTTATGTTTTAATTTTAGTGTGAATAATTTAGCAACTAAAAATTAGAACATAAAATATTGGATTTATTTTAAAAATTATTTTATTCTTTTTCCTTAAAAGATTTTACTTTATAATATATGATGTATTTAATTCATACAGATTAATAAAAGGTTTTGATTAAAAGGAAAATGCTTAGTAAGTAATCATAATTAAGACACTAACATTATGGCAAGATGTTAAATATGAGAATCCCTTGTAGTAGACAGAAATCATTTAATAGTGATTTTGTCATTTTATATCATTTGACTAAGTTCTTTTATTACAAGGAATCAGTTTCCGATCCTGCATTCCTTAAAAACCTGTTGTTTGTTGAGCTAATTAATGTAGGAAGAAGCAAATAAAAGGGACATTTATAATTATTACATTCCCGTGTGCACCTTAGACTTCAATTTAATTCACGCGCACATTACTCTCCAGCCTTTTATATGGGCTGGGCCGGGCCCAGTGGGTGGGTGACGTGCCGTTATAACTAGCTTATTTTATTTATTTATTTATTTATTTATTAATTAGAGCTATCTATCTCACCCTACCACGCTATACGGTGTCTGCACTCTGAACACACGCACTCGCATAGAGAGATAAAGAGAGTTAAATTGTGTGTTGCGTTGTGAAGCATGATATGACAGAGACACATTGCTTACTGTTTATAATTTCGTTAACTGTCATCATTTTCATACAATAGAGAAGAGAAGAGAGAATTTTCATTTGTTTGAATTAGGAAGAAAGAAAACAAGGGGAATGAATTTTGGGAGTTAGCAGGAATAGTAATGGCGAAGAGGGAGCGAGTGAGAGGAGTGTCGGCGTCGGAATTGAAGGAGAGGTTGAGGGAATTGGTGAAGGCTATAGTTGACTCCGACGACTACGTGGTGGCAGCCGCCGACGAAGCCATCGCCACCCTTTCGGCTCTCAAACATTTAAAGTCTCCAGACTCTTTGGATGACTTTCCCCTCCCTCCCGAATTTCGATGCCCCATTTCAACCCAATTGATGACGGATCCCGTTATCTTATCCACCGGCCAGGTTAGGTTATTCCCTCTTTTCAATTTCATTTTCGTTTTTTTTTTGTTCTGTCAGTGTTTGGTGTTTATAGTTTATTCCTTTAGAAAATAGAAAGCGTGACACTGAGTGGTGACTGATTGCGTTTGTGCTTTTTTATGTGTTTTAATTTCGTTGTATTGTTGCTTCAGACTTATGATAGGCCATTCATTCAAAGGTGGTTGGATGAGGGTCACAGAACGTGTCCGCAGACACAGCAGGTCCTGTCTCACTCCATTTTAACACCTAATTACTTGGTCCGGGACATGATTGTGCAGTGGTGTAGGGAGCGTGGAATTGAGCTTCCTGAGCCTGTTAAGGACATTGATGGCGTGGTCACTAAGGCGGATAGGAACCACTTGAATTCGTTGCTTCGGAAGTTGTCATTGTCTGTTTCTGATCAGAAACAAGCTGCCAAGGAGCTTCGCCTTTTGACAAAGCGAATGCCTTCTATTCGAATCCTTGTTGGGGAGTCCAGTGATGTGATTCCCCAATTGCTGAGTCCATTATCATCGCCTGGCACGGCTTCTACTGACCCTGATCTCCACGAGGATTTGATCACCACGGTTCTCAATCTCTCTATCCATGATGATAACAAAAAGGCCTTTGCAGAGGATCCTGCGGTGATTTCTCTGCTTATTGATGCCTTGAAACGTGGAACAATTCAAACGAGGAGCAATGCTGCTGCTGCTATTTTCACATTGTCCGCGCTTGATTCCAACAAATACATCATTGGAAAATCCGGGGCTATCAAGCATTTGCTTGCGCTTTTGGATGAGGGACAGCCATTGGCCATGAAAGATGCTGCTTCGGCAATATTTAACCTTTGTCTTGTACACGAGAATAAAGGAAGGACAGTGCGAGATGGGGCAGTTCGGGTTATTCTGAACAAGATGATGGACCACATTCTAGTTGATGAGTTGTTGGCCATACTGGCACTCCTATCCAGTCATCCCAGGGCTGTTGAAGAAATGGGTGATCTAGGTGCTGTTCCTTTGTTATTGGGGATTATTAGGGAGAGTGCATCAGAGAGGAGCAAGGAAAATTGTGTTGCAATTCTGTATACAATCTGTTTTAGTGATAGAACTAAGTTGAAGGAAATTAGAGAAGAAGAAAGAGCAAATGGTACACTGTCAAAACTTGCACAATGTGGAACTTCAAGGGCCAAAAGGAAAGCTAACGGTATTCTTGAAAGGTTTAATAGATCCCCCTCCTTAACACACACTGCTTAGTGAAACTAAACCTCGGGGATTAGGAAATCACCACTCTGTAAATAGTTTTTCTTGTGTTCTTCTGTACAAGCACAAACCATCTCGGGTAGCTGTAAAAATGGGAAAGAGAAGTTCACATATTGTGTACAGAACCTTCACTTACAATCAGGGTGAATGAGCAAAGAGTTTGTTACTTATTCCTTTATTTCACTTCGGTTTGATTCTTTATCCCTTTTGAAAAAGCTCTTTTTCTTTGCTAAAGTTACTATATTCTTCTATTTTCTCATTGCCTGACTGACTGCCCGTGATTGATGTTTTTGCTATCTAAATTTGTAAGTATTCTTCCCGTGTTTGTCGCGTAGCCAACCAACTTTGAGTGCTGACAAAGTGTCTGTTTGTATTTTGTTAGTGACTCTATTGTTGTATTTGTATGTGGTTTTCGTTGCTGGTAACTTGGTATCTTACAGCTGAGAAGGATAACGAATAAAAAGGTTAGTGTGTGGGAGTGGGGTAGGGTAGGGCCTCCTTTTGTTTTCTTTCCCTCGCCAACCAGTGAAGAGTGTCGGCACCGTTTTTGTTGCTCTACTTTACCCAACTTTCTTTTATTACACTTTTAGGCACCAATTTTGCCCATGCCCCATAGATTTTATGAATTGATTATATATGTATGATTATCGGTCACATACTTTCGCCTCTAAGTTGATATGACTGGTATTTTGACTTGTGCGTTTCTTTTTATTCATGTTCAGTTCCATGGTGTCACCGACAGTCTAGAATATTCAAAGTTACTTGGGTCATGCATGCCTAACTATTCAGAATCTTAATCATGTCCTGACTGCTGGTGCTGACTAACTTGTTATTCCATCAAATGTTTAGTTAACTTGTTCCAACAGCCTATCATAAGTATGAAAAAGAAACAGTGGATTGGTTTGGTCACATAAATGAAGAGTGCTAGGAAATAGGAACGATTTCAGGGTGAGTACTGCTTAAATCTTGCCTTTCTATATGATAAGGTTCTTTGTACCTAGAGCTTTTATTTCGTTCACAGTCGCAAAGGTAATGATTACTTCAATAAAATAATATTTGCCATTATTGTCTCTTATTATACTAGGCTTGCTGCAAAAAGGTTGGTGAGTCGAGTGGTGATTAGCCTACTCGTAGAATTCAATTATTAAGTCCCAAAGGATGGCTGGTTTTAGGTTCAAGTAGAATGATTTAAAACTTTTGTTTAGAGCAATTTTAGGAGGAGCTACTTGTAAGGAACTGTTGCATATAAAGTATCTCGCAGGAGCTCATGTGGACAGATAAGTATAGGCACCAGGAATTTGTACTGTAAATTTTTTTATATTAATTTCATTAAAATATGTCTTTAACCAATACATAAGTAATTCATTTTAAATTATGAAATAAACTATTTCATTTTTCTTATTTTCCTTTCTTAACAATATTATTAATGGAAAATTATGGATGAGGTTGAATCTTTAGTGACACTTGTGTTGTGCCTGTGGGGTTATGCTCTCCTTGTAGTGTGTTTGAATGACGAAATTTAAGATGAATTCATATTTTCTACGGGGGAGTCTTCAAAATATATTGGTGTTGGTATATTAAAAGTCTTTAATATATTTTAAAACATTAACATCAGTGTCCATCGTCAACACTCAATCAATTTTGTCCGGGTAATTGCGATCCCGACACCCATCAATATAGTTTAGAAGTACAGTACAAAAAATTAGACGATCCAAATTCAATTTAAGATAGTAATACATTTATTAAGAGATTTTCAAAACTTTTTGTTACAAAATGAGTTGTTTAAATATCATCTATTTTAATTTCTTAAAATTACAGAAAACAAAAAGCATGATCTTAAACTCAATCCTCAGAAATCTGTTTTCGCTTTCTTGGAATATCAAGAAATGCAAACAATCCTCGTCTTCTCCTTAGAGATTCCTTGACATCTAGAGAATAGATAAATGGCAGTAAATTAATAAAAGTGGTTGTGGTTGATGAAATTGGATAGGGATATGTTCACTGTTTCGGCATGTAGCATGTGATTAGCATCCCCAATAATATTAGCATAGTTTTTTGTCCTACCTCTTTACTCTCCCAAAGAAGAACTACCATTTATGCAGTCTATGTTTAAGCATCTCTCATGAGTTAGTTACATAGGTATTCATATTGTGGACAGACCAAATTTGGTGTTCAATTTTGAAAAGTATTTCATATTTGTGCAAACTACTCTTCTCTTACTTTTGGCAAAATTTACTGCAATAAAATAATTACATTGTAGATGCATGGACAATAACAGTGTAAAGTGGAACTGGGAAAGAAGACAAATGCAGATGGGGAGAAGAATTTGGAAGGTCCTTTTCGTGGGCACTATAAAAGGCCACCTACTGATCCCAAAACCTGTTATTTCTTTCTGCGCACGTTAGTGACCGACTCACTCACGGGCTCCACTCTGCTTGTTCCAAAGTAAACCATGAGCTGAGAGCCATTATTTCATGGCTGAAGATGGAAAATGATAGAATCTCACGCAATGTAACGCTCTGTCACTTATTTGGCTACTGTCTATAATATAATCATAACTTCCTTAACAGCAACCATATTCAATGGATGAAACTCTTCAAAAAAAAATCACCATCCTTAGAATCTTATTTAGATAGTGTATTTTTGTCTTTGACTGGTTCTTTTTTATTATTTATATAGTTGAAGATTGTTGATTTTTTGAAACATGATCTAACTGTACTGTATAATTATCATCAAACTCCTAATACTATAATTCTGTGAACTGTGAAGTGAATCTGTCAATGTATACATTTTTTCTGAGTCATCTTCTTTTAGTTTCTTTGAAATGGTCCTCATTGCACAGAACAGTTTTGAAATAGACTAGCAAATAGAGGATGATGGTACAATCACTAATCACCTATCTACATGCACATACAAAATGGTCCACAACCACAAATATCATAATATCATAACCTTCTGAATAATTTTTTGTCAGCATTTTAAATTAATCTACATCTTGAAGGAGAAACAGTGATATAATATGACAAAAAAATATGCAGTAAAATAGTGTTATTGAATGTGTACATATAAAATGTTTGATATGCTGGTGAATGAATGTCTTTAGGATACCATAAATTAATAAACTCAAATGTTAAAGTACATGCAAATTTTAATTTTTTATTCATGTCATTTTTATTAAGAACTTTTTTCTTAAAACATTTTCTTTTTAAATGAATGAATGATACTTCTATTAATAACCCTGTTTCTTAAAGCAATGACATCTTACACCAACTTCTGGTCCATCTATATTCCCAACACTCTCAAGTTGATGTTCTGCATAAGCACAACAAAATTTTTATCCAGTTACTAAATTTATTTTCAACTGCCCCACCTTTCCTGGCATGTAAATTGTATTTGGTACAAATCCTTAATTTACTCAAATTCACTTGATTTTAAACAATAGATTGATAACAATAGTAGCTGATTGCACTGTTCCCTAAAGGCATGACATTTTACACTAACTTCTGACTTATCTATTCCCAACTATGAAGCCTATGTTTGAACCAACAACACTCATGTAAATTTCACATATAGAAGGAGTGCAAGAGTGAACTTAGTGTAACTTTAATTTGATATCCTTGAAAATGGTGAAATGAATTTCGAATGTCCACGCATTCGTCCATCCCGGTATTCATCAGTACAGTGTATTTTCCAACTTCTAGGGCATAATATAATTGAATGCTAAGGTGGAAGAGATTTTGTAACTATTTAAGGAAATTCAGTGAAATAAAAGACATCAAACATATAAAATATATATATATATATATATATATATATACACTCACACTAAGGACAATTATTTTTTTCACCCTCATATTCTCCATGTGCATTATCATATGATGCTTAAGAGACTATATTGTCCTCTACAACTGTCATGCTTTGCAGTCACTATCCCTTGTCATCGTCACCTTTTGCCTTGTCAATTTTTTTCTATATATTGCGTTATGGACAGATGTAAGGAATAAAGTATTTTAAATTGCAGAGTTGGAAAATTGGTTTTCTTTTTTCTAAATATCTATTTAGTTCAATATTTGAATTCTTCTTTCTTCCAAATTTACTTTCATGGTGCTTCTAAATTTTAAAAATGATAAATAATTTTTAATTTAATTATGTTAAATTTTTTCGATGCATTAAATATGTTTTAAGTTAGTGTTTAAATATGTTTAACATGTTTCAACTCAAATATTAGTTTAAAATTTCACTTATAAGCTTAAAATCATTATTCTTATTGAGTTAAAATGATTATATTTATTTAATTTCAAAATTTAGAGATCAAAATATGTCAAAGTTTAAGATAAGGACTAATTTTAATTTTGTGTCCAAGTTGAAGAACTAAAAATATATTAAATTTTTTTTACAAAAATATTTCAAATTTTTTAATTTGGATGTAAACATGATTTTCAAAGTGTAATCTCATGTAACTTTTCTTACGAAAAAGATTACATCATTTATTATTCAAAAACCTTTTTCATGCAAAAGATTGCTTTTGAAATGAATAACCCAAAAGTAAAAGAAATAATGTATGAATTGTACAACTTGTAAGTTTTTTATGCAAAATTTTGTTGGATTGTATAATTTGGAAATTAAAAAAATCAGATTGCATTATTTTAACTTTCATATCGTGTAATACCAAAAACTTTCCTTATATCAAAAAATCACTTTCAAACTGCAAAATTCATAAATCATTTTTAAAGATAAAGGGCAAACTTTCGTATTATAGAGGTACAGAAGGAAGACATACGGTGTGTACAGAAAAATCTCATTGCAGTAAAATTCTTCAGACCGAATCCTGACCTATAAACCCATATTGAAGGCCCAATTTAATGTAGTCACACACACTTGTCTAGAGAATAATTAATAAGGTTATATTTATTTTATGATATTAAAATTATTTATAGAAAAAATGAACTTGAGAATGTCACATTTGGTAGAAATCTTGAAGATTATTCTCGTGTACTATTTATTTCCAAGAATATAAATATATGTGCTTGTCTTAACATTTTACAAAATCTTATTTCATTTTTCTATTTTTTTTTTACTTTTATACATATCATTCATGATGTAATGCTCTATTAATTGATATTATATTTTAAATTATTTAACTATTACATTAACTGATTATATATTTTTATAATTATATTGTTTGGTTTAATAAGACAATAAACGAGAGAGAAATAATTTTAAAAACTCCTAAATACTAACAGGTTCGAGGCTAAAGGATTAGAAAACAATTCAAATAAAAAAATAGATGAAAAGTAAAAAATAAATAACTAGATAAGTTCACTCTAACTAAGTTTCATTATTTCTCCCCACACAACTCACAACTTCCCCTTTAAAATCTTTTTTAAAAAATACCATTTTATCATTCTAAAAGTCCTTCTAATAAAAGAAGGAGGAAACCAAACATATCGATATAATATTTGTTTAAGAGTATATAAAATTAACCATATAAAGGATTGATATAAACTAATAATTAGCTAAACTTTCACATGTAATATAGAATTTAAATTTTCAAATTTCATAAATTTTCTTCTCTAATATTTTATAGTGAAATAAAATGTTATTAAATTAAAAAGAAATGTATGGAGGACACCAACCACATAATAAAAACTACACTTCACACATAAGTGATTTATGTCTGAAAAAAAATTTAAATACATAAAAATAAAATATTAAAACTTATATTAATCTTTATGAATAAAAATCAAATCAATTAACTTAATAGTACAATAATTTTTCACACAAAAAATAAAAGGTTTTAAATTACATATGTTTATAAATATAAAATTCAAAAGAATCACTCATTCGTCTAAAAAACTAATTGAATTTATCATCTACAACATAACTAAATAAACCTGACCTTTTTAAAAATATATTTACACAACTGGAAGATAAAGTGTTATGTCATATTTGATAAATCAACAAATTAATCTTTAAAAAGAAAAACTAACAAACACTGTTTTTTGCATTTTGGTTATTACATTTAATTATAACTTGCTTCAGAATAAAATAAATTACCATTCTAAAAAAAAAAAACAAATACTTTAAGCGAGTCCAAAAATCAATTTAATTTTTTTAAAGAATGGAATTGTAGTGATTGTGACAAAAAAAAGGAAGAACTTATTTTCTGGAATTTTAGGTTTTAACAAATTCTAATGTTCTTACCTTTCAATAAAGTTTTTTTTTTTTCAAATTTGTCCACGGAGTAATTATTGGCTTTGGCTTATTCAAGCAAGATTCTTTTTTTATCATTTATAATCATTTAATTTTTTTAATTAGTTTATATATATTTTGCAGAAGACCATCTTTCCCAACTCTTGAGTCGCTCAACAAAAATAACTTTTCCTTTTTTATTTGTTTAAATCATGCCCGGATGCTACACGAAATATATATTTTTTCAAATTAAATTGTAAAATTCATTCAAGGTTTGTTTAAAAGTTAATGAATTATTTAAGTCATTCAAAAGAAAAATGTGGCAATGCAAGGAAATATAAAATATAATAAACGATTATTTATAAAGCATAAAAAAAATCCTAATAAAAAATCAACGTCTTCTCTTTAACAAGTACATAGCAAACATAGACATTAATTAATTTCCTTTCCCTCTGTGATAAACACATATAATCAATCAATCAATCAACCTAGTTTTCGTTAAGCCATCATCATCCGAAGCAGATCCCGAAACGCATCGTTGAATCTTTAATGCCATAGTTTTGTAATTTTGTTTGAATTTAGTTGTTGAATTTTTTGCGAAGAAGAGAAGCACGCAAATCGGCAACGTCAACCTCGTTGATGTTCTCCGGTTTGTAGTAACCGGTGACAGGATCTGGCACCCATGAAACCTCGTACGACGACACCCTTTTCTCTTCCCCTGACTTCCCTGCCATCGCGTTAACTCCTCCCCTTTTCACGCTCCGTGTTGCAACAGAGTATCCGCGTCTGTTTAATATAAACCATCTCATTATTTCACTGATAAACAATTTAATTACCGTAAAAAGGATTAAAAATTAACTTAAAACGAGGAAATAATATTCTGGGTACGTTACCTGGTTAGAGTGTTGGAGAATCCGTCTAGAAGAAGAGCAGAGAAAGTCTTAACGTTAGCGAAAGAGCGAGCCATTGGTTTGATGAGATTACAGAGTGGATTAAAACCAAGGAAATCTCGTTGTATCTTTGATAAGAATTTTAAATTGGTGAGTGCAAAATCGTGGGCAGAACACAAGCTTTCCAAAGTGTAATCTTTTTAATTTGAGTTTGTGAGAGATGAGGTGAGGGTGGTCTTTATATAAAGAAGGTAACGGAAAATTGTTGACGCGTCAAAGCATGAATAATTGGAGTTGAAGGTAGAGTTTTCAATGACCTGAGAAAGTGGGAAGGTTCTAAAATTTAGGTAAAAGGTGGTGAGATTATGACATAGGAAGAGTCGTGTGAGGACGTGAATTGGAAAAGTTTGATGGAGTCAATGGTGGTGTGAGCTGAATCTGGTCGTGCTTTTGACTCAGCAAGTTGTTGATGTGGGGTGGTATTAATTACAAACGTGTGGTGTGCACAATCAACATGCATCTCTAGAAGAATGCCGAAATTTAGGAGAACCTTCCCAAACCTCTCTTTTTTGGGTAACCAATCAATTGAATTCCCTTTTTCTCCTTTTCCTCGTTTTCCCATATTCTAAAAACGTTTTTCACTTTCCATCAAATTAAACTACGTATGTGATTTTATATTAAAAGTTATGCTTAGTTTGTATTAATCAGGCAAAACAGATAAGACAGTAAAGAAGGTGAGAGACGATGGTTCTTACTACAAAAAGAATGAGCAAACTTAACACGGCACCACCATAGAGTGTGTGCGTGAAATTATTAGATTCATGGCATCACCGAATTTAAATGTTGAGTTTCGTATCTTCACATCAAAACTCACCTCAAATCAAAGTTATTAATTCTGTATATGATAATTTAGTTTTTGTAAAAGATTAACATAGTTAAGCTGCACAAACCGAAGTAGAACGTTAAAAGATATGACTTTTGGCTAAAGTTTCGCATAATAAAATGAATGATTTTTGGCTTAAGTTTCACATGACGTATCTTAGATAGATTTGATTATGTCTCATTGTTATCGAATCTTTTTCCACTACATTCTCAAATATTTATCAGTGGTATTTGTTAAGTATTTAAACACTTTTAAGTATTTGTTAACAATTAATTGCATTGATATTTAAACACTTTTATGATAATTCTCTTTTTAGTAGATTCTAATATTAGTTTGTTTCTCTCAATAATGTGTTTTCAAGCTTAATTGTGAATGGGTAACAAATTTTCGCGTGAATTGACCTATTACAAATTTTTCATTTTTTCATTTTTTCATCATAGCTTATACAAGTTGCTTCTTCTTACCTTTTAAATGGACTTATGGAAACAGATATGTAAAATGAAAAAGTAACGACCCTGATAATGCAAGTAAAATGTTAGTAACGTCCTTTTAGCTTAATTATGTTGTAAGCCTATGAAAAATTTAAGAACTTTTAATTGAATTTTTAATAAATTTTTATGATTTATTTAATACTTACTAAATTAAAAAAATTCAATTGAATCCTCACTTTTTTAAAATTTTTATCATCTTGAAATTATTAGAAATTAGAAATACTTGTAATTCTTAATGAATATCTCATTTACCGTTATTATAAATTTTAATCAATTATAAAATTCAAGTTCACAAATATTTTCATAATATTTAATAATTAAAAGAGATTATTGTATGATATTATTTCTTAACATCTAATTCAAATTATAACATTTTAAATTAAATTAATAATATTTTTTAATTTATTCGGTTTTAATTTTTTATAGAGAATAATAATAAAAAATAAAAAAGTTTAAAATAAATATAAAATAATAGAATATTTCTAGTAATTTATTTTAAATAAAAAATTATATATATATATATATATATATATAATTTTCTCCACATTTTATATTTTCTAAATAATTAAATATAAATTTATGAAGAAATCCCTTTAAATCGGTTCTAATTTGTTTTTTCTTTTCGATAAAATATGTTTTTAAATAATATTAAAACTTTATATCTATTATTACTACAAGAAAATTTTAAAATAATAACAAAGAGATAAGAGCAATAATTAGTCATAATTAAGTTAAATATTATTTTATAAAATAAATATTTATACCTATAGATCAATAAATTTTTTGTGGTCACATTTATTTTCTAATTTCATTCTTTAAGTAAAAGTTTTTAATATTAAAAATAATCATTTTATTAGTTTTATCATCTCTTTAAATTTAACTAATAACTGCTTTTTTATATATGACCATATTTTAAAATTAACCATTTTTTAATTATTAACTAAATTTTTAATCCCATTTATCAAATATTTCACACAAGAAAACACATCTTATTTTATCATTTTTAATGTAAAATATCCTACAAGATGCATACCATCTGTGAATTAATCAGGTCTGTGTCTAGGATTTATGACAAAACTATTTCTCAAAATTATACAAAATGACAAATTCATTCAATTATTCTTGGAAAGAGCTAATTTAAGATCAATTGAAATGATTTGTTTAAGATTGTTTAGTCTTATTAACAGAAACAATAATCAATACCATATCCTACCATGACTTATCATTAAATAATTTGAATTAAAAAAATATATGACCTACTAATATAACGAGACCTTGAATAATTGGGAGGCCTAATATCAATGTCTCGATTGTTTAACGACCTTCGATCTAGTCAACTTGATTATTAAATTTTAAATAATACATTATAATTATTCAAAATAATAAATACTGGTCAAAAGATTATATATATATATATATATATATATATATATATTTCATCTTTAAATATATTTTACAAATTAACTTTAAAAAATATTAATAAAATAAAAAATATAAATAAGAATTAAATCAGATGTTACATTAAATGCTACATTAAACTTTCGAATTAATGATTGCCCATGTATTAACTGTCTTAAATTAACAGTACAAATGATACGCTGATACATCTTTTGAAGTCTACTTTATATAATGTTATATATATAGAGGTAAATAAGTACTTGAATTAAAAAAAAGTTTTATAAAGTAATTTTTCAAAATGTAAAATTAAATACTAACATTGTGTCGTACAGTACTATTTAAGAAAATAAGTTACTTATTTATAATATTACACTATTAGCTTTAAATTGTTTACATTAGCTTGTTTCTAATTATTACTAATAAAGAAAAGAAAAGGTTTAATCATTCATTAAGTCCCTATTTTCGCATGGAATCTCAATTTCGTCCCTTTCTTTTTGAAAATCTCAATTGGATCCCAAATTTATGAAAATTGCAACAATTGGGTCCTTTCCGTTAAATTATCTCTAACGGTGTTAGTATGTGTTTCACATGGCACTCTGTAGTCAGTTTCTTAACTGACGTGGCTGATCGAGCAAGTGGAGAGACTTGAGTTTCGACCGTGGTTTCACGAGAGTGGAGCTCGGCGATTCGTTTGCGTACCTGAGAGTGGAGCTCGGCGATTTCGTGGCGTACATTGCATCCGGCAACATCCTTCTGGAGTACGTGGTGGGCGGCGCCGCCGTGGCACGCTCCTGGACCTCCTATTTCGCCACTCTCTGCAACCAAGACCCCGACAAGTTCCTCATCCATGCCCACCACCTCTCTGCCGACTACAGCAACCTCGACCCCATCGCCGTCGCCGTCCTCTTCATCATTGGCCTCTTCGCCGTCTCCAGCACCAAGGGCTCCTCCCGCTTCAACTACCTCGCCTCCATCCTCCACCTCCTCGTCCTCCTCTTCATCATCGTCGTCGGCCTCACCAAAGCCAACGCCGCTAACTACTCCTCCTTTCTTCCCTTCGGATCCCGCGGCATCTTCCAGGTAAAGAAAACTTAGATCATTTGCATGATTCAAAACCAGTTCTGGTGGTGGCTTGTTCCAAGGTGGAAGGCACAACGACATCCCCCAAGTCGGAGGGAAGACATATCTCACAGAAAAAGAAGAGGGGAGCAGCACCACCGGCTCTAAATCAATGATATAGTCACACTTCCAAAACTGTATAATTTGCTTCTATGTTTGTGTGTCCCTGTCTCCGGCCACAACTTTCCGGTGGCGTCTACTACTCGGTCTCCGTTCTTTTCCGTGCTTTCCAGAGCCCCTCCTGGCAACCTTTTCTGATGATGTTTCATGCACACGTTGCAATGGAGGACTGAGAGCAAATGCCACCGGAGCAGCCAGACGTTCCAATATATCCCTATGGTATTTCTGTAACCAACAAAAACAAATCATCAGTGACAATAAAGTTGACTTCATTATCAACATGTTTTCCTGAGTAATTATCAAACTATCCTTTTATTGAAAAAACATGAAAAAACACACGAACTTATCGTTCATAATATAATTTGTAATTAGAAAACAATTCTTTCATGGTAAACACAATACATGTTGAGTAAAAAGTTTATAACTGATAGTGTGAAGCGAGCTTATCCAACTTCGTTGAACCAAAGACAAGTAAAAAGGTTGCTGATGGGAACATGCTCTCTTACAATTACACATCCTTCAGGAACATCTGCAATTTAGCCATCAGGATTGAGAAATGAAGCAGAAGCAGAATAGAGGCATGTCATCCAACTGGGGAAACGAAAGTTTAGCTTACCACTTTAAAGAGGAAGTTTGGGCCTCTGTATATGGAGTCAGTCCCTCATTCTTGTAAAACTCAATCTGAAAGTCTATAGAGGCATTATCATACTTTCAGCAGCTTTATTTGCCTCGGCCTCAGCAAATACATCGAAGCGTCTATAATGTTTAGATATTGCAAAAGTTGCATTCTTCCTCCACAAAAACCTAAACAAGGATTACTGCATTCTGTCGGTGACCCTGTGTTTGATGCAGAGGTTTTCAGAGGTTGACGAGAAAGTGCTTTCTCTGTGGCGTTTGAAGCGGTAGGATGAGTTGGGCGAAGTACATAGTTGCATTTGGGGCGTTGAAAGGAATGACAAGCGTTCTCCTTGTTGGTGCTGTGGGACAAGCCAGGTATCTCACTCACATTGCTAGAAGCATGCCACGTCAGTTAAGAAAACTGACTACAGAGTGGCATGTGAAACACATACTAACAACGTTAGAGATAATTTAACGGAAAGGACCCAATTGTTGCAATTTCATAAATTTGGGACCCAATTGAGATTTTCAAAAAGAAAGGGACGAAATTGAGATTCCATGCGAAAATAGGGACTTAATGA